TTCGGTGGATAAATCTCTTTGGATATCCGTTTTCACAGAGTATATCCCGCAACTGCTTGAATTCTGCTTCAACAGTCTCAGGAGGATAGATACGCCACACTAGCTGCAAATCCCTCGACCAAATTGCGCTTAATATTAAGGGGAACAAAACTTCAAAATTTAATTTTTTGTGCCGTCCAGGTATTCTTTCGAAATACCCTACGCTGGATAGATCCATTCTCATTTCTGGACAAAAGAGTGTCGAGGAACGCGATTTCGTTGTCTGCCTCAAACTCTGCAGAGAACTTTCAGCGAGGCGTGTGCAGTGTTAAACTTTTGGACCGGAGCGTCTGTGCCGGTGGTAAGATCCGTCAGGCAGAAAATATCGTCCACGTACCGACAGTAGAAGGTCACTAATAGTATCTTGTAACCTTGTCTTCTGAACTTTGCCTATGAAGACATTTACGAGGAACGGACCAGTTGGTGAGCCCATCGCTACGCCTTCCATTTGCCTGTGCAGTTGATTATTGCAGACAAACTAAACATTTTGCGTGCGACGCGTCATAGTTCTTCTAATGTCTCCATTAGCATTCCTAACGGGTAGATCATGTCGCGGATAACGGACTACACCAAACCATTTCGGGGGACAAGCTGTAGCCATTAAATATCCATTATATGCTAGGTTTAACTACTGACCTGGTGTGCCTTATGTCGTGAACGAATATTCAACAGGGGAATCAGAAGACAGGGATTCTGTCGCTCCGAGCACTCGTGAGTCCTTTAGAGAGAAATATTGCGGCCAAACGCCACCTCCAAGTAGCTTGACAAGAGATGCACATTTCGAGTATAGCGGTGTGCGTGGAATAGCCAAAAACGAGTCGATTAGGCATACAGCCGCAAGCATGATGGAGACAGAGACGACAAAACAAAAGTCGTCGTAGAACTCGGAGCCAGAAGAAGAGTATCCACAGTGGGTCCCAATGGTACTGACAGCGATCGATAATAAGCGCATCTACGGTCATGCAAGTCTCCCCACTTGATCCAGTGAAGCCGGAGAAACCGAAATATTCAGGTGTAGTCCCCACAACTATGATGTCTTCAGTGGTACCCGGCTCTGTCTATAGCCCCAATAAATTACCCTGTAAGGTTCAAGGTCCTCATGTACGCAGTGCCACAGCGAAACAGTCCGAAAGCAGAACGCTGACGCAAATATTCTCGTAAAAAGATCACAATATGTCAAGGCTTACATTTGAACGTCAGGGAAGGAAAACGTAGGGCTATGAAAAAGAGTCAGCTGTTTCATAAGAAGAGTAAGAGGAGCTCTGATCAGAAAAATAAGGGCTCTCAATCACTTCATGGGTCAAGCTCGTAGACTCTGCAAAGTACACGGTCAATGCCTTCGATTTCGCGTGAATCAAACTTAGTTCGATCTCCATGTTGAAAGAGTGAGCTGGGGAAGTGGTGTGACGACAGAGGTCAAATAATTGAAAAATGTTAGCGTTTCTGGGGAGGAAGAGACCAACTGGGCCACCATTGGTCAGGCGCATCAAACGCTGAGTTAGAAACCACAGGTCTCTGTGCCGACCCTCGAAAGTCAGCGATGAGAGATCGAAAGTTCCAC